TTATTTCATACATTTTAATAAGATTCTCTATAAATATTATTCTTCTAAAATATTAATTAATCGCTCTTTTTTCAAAATTAAACTTATTTATTTTCCATATATCTTATTTATCTTGTACTTATTAATAATTACCATCTATTTTTCAAAAGTTAATTTAATTTCTTATTTTAAACTCTTATTAAATTTTACTCACTATTTTATATTTATATTTTATTTTCTCAGTAAAAATCATTCTAAAATGTTAATCGTGTGCAATTTTGAATATGAATTTTTATTCAGTATTTATTTTCTCATCAAAATCATTCTAAAATGTTAATTGTGTGCAATTTTGAATATGAATTTTTATTCAGTATTTATTTTCTAGTAAAAATCATTCTAAAATGTTAATTGAGTGCAATTTTGAATATGAATTTTTATTCAGTATTTATTTTCTCAGTAAAAATATATTCTAAAATATTATTATATAAATGTGTTAAAAAAAGCTAGTCTAAAAAAATGTTGCCCCAGACCTCACTTTTCCTCTTATATCCCTCAGAACATTAAATACTAGAATTTTTTCAAATATGACTAAATAACTGGAGATCTCTAATTCTACTATATTTTTAAATATATGTTTTAAATACAAATATTAAGTTTAAATAATGAATGTTAAATTAATTTTTCTGTGATATCTCTTCATAATATCAAATATTTAAATTAATATTTGATAATTAATTATTATTTTCATTTGTTCTTTTTATCCATTTATATAATTAATTCATTAATTAAATTTCATAAATTGCTTTTCAATATTTTTGAAAAAAAATAAATGATATAATAGATTAAAGAATATAACGAATTAGAAGAAGTAATTATTTTTTTTTTAATAATATCCTTTAAATTTATATAAATTAATTAAAAAAAGTTTTTAAGCTCTTCATTTTTATCTCATTAGGTTCTAAATATTGCTCTGAGGTATATTTAATTTATAAATATTATTTTTATTATTATCAATATTTTTTGTATATTTTTTTTTCAATTTGTTTAAATAAATAACTTTCATTATTGAAATTATCATCATTATTTATTGATTTTTATTAAAATAAATTTTTTTAACTATTTTAATTTTATTTTCATTTCAATTTTTAATTATTTATTATTCATTTTTTATTAATTGATATTTTTTCTTCATTTTTGCTATTAAAACTTACATTTAATAAAAGCAGTTTATTTGTTTTGGATTGTAAAATTTTTAATTATAAAAGTTAATTTAAAACATAAAAGCTCTTTTAATTTATTTGATTTATTTTCCTTTTTCTTTATATTATGATTTCTTACTTTTTCATTCTTTTTTAATTTTATTAATTATTTGTTAATCTTATTATTATATAAGAGGAAAATTGAGGTCTGGAGCAACATTTTTTAGACTAACTTTTTAAAATAAATTTATAACATTAATTAAAGTTTTTGGAAATTTTTTAGAAATTAAATAGGTGATGGAGGTGCATCAGGCTTAGGTTCTGCTTTAGCAAAGTGCATTAATCTCTCCAATTTGACACTTTATCTTGGGTAAAAAATAATTTATTTGTTTTGGATTGTGATATTTTTAATGATAAAAACTAATTAAAAACAATAAAGCTCTTTTTTCTTTTTCTTTTTATTGTTCTTGCTTTTTTTTTGTTCTTTCTTTGTTAATTTAACTCATCACTTTATTTTCAACTTTTGATTTTATTAATAATTAATCAAATATATTATTTCATATTTTTTCTTTGTTTATTCCTTCTAATTAACTATTTAATGATATATTTTCTTCAATATTTAAAAAGTAACAATTAAATAGATGATGGAGGTGCATCAGGCTTAGGTTCTGCTTTAGCAAAGTGCATTAATCTCTCCAATTTGACACTTTGTCTTGGGTAAAAATAATTTATTTGTTTTGGATTGTGATATTATATATTTTTTCTTCAATATTTAAAAAGTGAAAATTAAATTGGTGATGGAGGTGCATCAAGCTTAGGTTCTGCTTTAGCAAAGTGCATTAATCTCTCCAATTTGACACTTAATCTTAGGTAAAAATAATTTATTTGTTTTGAATTGTGATATTTTTAATTATAAAAACTAATTAAAAACAATAAAGCTCTTTTTTCTTTTTCTTTTTATTGTTCTTGCTTTTTTTTTGTTCTTTCTTTGTTAATTTAACTCATCACTTTATTTTCAACTTTTGATTTTATTATTAATTAATCAAATATATTATTTCATATTTTTTCTTTGTTTACTCCTTCTAATTAACTATTTAATGATATATTTTTTCTTCAATATTTAAAAAGTAACAATTAAATTGGTGATGGAGGTGCATCAGGCTTAGGTTCTGCTTTAGCAAAGTGCATTAATCTCTCAAATTTGACACTTAATCTTGTGTAAAAATAATTTATTTGCTTTGGATTGTGATATTTTTAATTATAAAAACTAACTAAAAACAACAAAGCTCTTTTTTCTTTTACTTTTTTTTTGTTCTTTCTTTCTTTGCTAATTTAACTCATCACTTTATTTTCAACTTTTCCTTTTATTATTAATTAATCAATCTTATTATTTCATATTTTTTCTTTGTTTATTCCTTCTAATTAACTATTTAATGATATATTTTTTCTTCAATATTTAAAAAGTAGCAATTAAATTGGTGATGAAGGTATATCAGGCTTAGGTTCTGCTTTAGCAAAGTGCATTAATCTTACTAGTTTGACACTTTGTCTTATGTAAAAACAGTTTATTTGTTTTGGATTGTGATATTTTAAACTATAAAAATGAATATAAAACAAAAAAGCTCTTTTTTCTTTTTCTTTTTATTGTTCTTGCTTTTTTTTTGTTCTTTCTTTGTTAATTTAACTCACCACTTTATTTTCAACTTTTTCTTTTATTATTAATTAATCTTATTATTTCATATTTTTTCTTTGTTTTTTCCTTCTAATTAACTATTAAATGATATATTTTTTCTTCAATATTTAAAAAGTGGCAATTAAATTGGTGATGAAGGTACATCAGGCTTAGGTTCTGCTTTAGCAAAGTGCATTAATCTCTCCAATTTGTCACTTTTTCTTTCGTAAAAATAATTTATTTGTTTTGGATTGTGATATTTTTAATTATAAAAACTAATTTAAAACAATAAAGCTCTTTTTTATTTTTCTCTTTATTGTACTTACTTTTTTTTTTGTTTTTTCTTTGTTAATTTAACTCTTCATTTTATTTTCAACTTTTGCTATAATTATTAATAAATCAATCTTATTATTTCATATTTTTTCTTCAATATTTAAAAAGTAGCAATTAAATTGGTGATGAAGGTACATCAGGCTTAGGTTCTGCTTTAGCAAAGTGCATTAATCTCTCCAATTTGTCACTTTTTTTTTCGTAAAAATAATTTATTTGTTTTTGATTGTGATATTTTTAATTATAAAAACTAACTAAAAACAATAAAGCTCTTTTTTCTTTTTCTTTTTATTGTACTTGCTTTTTTTTTTGTTTTTTATTTGTTAATTTAACTCTTCATTTTATTTTCAACTTTTGCTTTAAATATTAATTAATCAATCTTATTATTTCATATTTTTTCTTCAATATTTAAAAATTAGCAATTAAATTGGTGATGGAGGTGCATCAAGTTTAGGTTCTGCTTTAGCAAAGTGCATTAATCTAACTAGTTTGACACTTTGTCTTTTGTAAAAACAGTTTATTTGTTTTGGATTGTGATATTTTCAACTATAAAAATGAATATAAAACAAAAAAGCTCTTTGAATTTATTTGATTTATTTTTTATTCTTTTTAATTCGATTAATACTATTTTATTTATTAATTTAAAGAATAATTTTTAATTTAAAAGTTTATTCTATTTTTATATTTATTTAAAATTTACACAAATTTATTATAAATTTTTTAGCTCTATGAATTAATAATCAAAATTCAAAGTAAAAAGCAAGTGTCTTAAATTAAAAAGATTAGTTGTCTTTTTAAAAAATTTCTGATGATAAATAAGTGGCTTAAAAACGATGAATAAAGATTAAATGTTTGAATAATATTCTATAAAATTTTGAAAAAGTTTTTTAACCTAAAATATAAATAGATAGATATATAGATTTTATTATTGATTTTATATTTAAAATTTCATTCATATTTTTGTAAGTAGATAAATTATTTATAAAAAATAAAAATATTTAAAAATAAAATTTACTTAAATAAATTAAATTCCCTTAAGCAAACCCTCCTGTTTCTCAAAAACTATCAAATAATTTGAAAATGCAATTTGAAAAATTAATTAATTGAGGTAAAATAAATTTATGATTCTTTACTTTTTAAATTTAATAAAAAATCTTATCAAATAAATTAAAAATAATTAAAAAAATAAGATTATGGAATACATAAAAAATAATTACTTAAAAAACAAAAAATATTTATTATAAATTAAATAATAGTCATCATAATAATTTATTTTTGTATGTGTATAAATCAATCTGTGATTTATTTTTTGAAGGCCTTATTTTTTTATATGAATTGAGCTCTAACCTTTGATAGATTTTAGTTTCTCAATTTAGACTTGAATTCTTTTTTTGGAATGCCTTTTTGCACACATTTTCAAATCAACCGAAATTGCTCAAATGTTGGTAGAAGTACAAATCTCTACATAGCTTCTGATCTATGCTTATTATCTTTTTAATAATACACAAAGAAATCAGTTTTATTTTATCTAGTTTCCAACATATAAAAAACAAACCATAATATATAAAAGATTTTAATTGTTTGTTTTAATGATAATTAATCTGTGATATTTAACCAATAACATTTTCCTAACATGGAATTAAATAACAAAAAATATATTGATTGTACAATTTTAATATTCAATTTTTTGTGTGTACTATTAATAAATAAATAAATAAATATTTAATTATTCATTTTAGTAAATTCATATATTTAATTATACTAATCTTTTTATTTTTTAAGCTAATCTTTTGATTTCTCTTTATCTTTATACAGTCAATCCACTTTTAATAAATATAAATTTATTTTTTAAATAAATAATAAATTTTACTTAAAATTATCTTATTTTAAACAATAAAAAGTAATTACTACATAGATAGTTCCAATAACTTTATATTTTTACAGTTGATAATTTCTCTTGATTTTAGAAACTTCTCATTATTACTATATAAAATAAAGATATTTTAAATAACATCTTAAAAGCTTTAACATCATTTTTTTCAAAAGTAATAAATCAAATTTACTCTGAGCTAAAAATTAAATTTGTTAGTTGAGTGCAGTTACTCAAACCTAATCCAATATTTTATGCTCCTTTATCACCGATTTTATTGTACCTTTTCAAATAAAATAAATCAATTTATTAACTGTTTAAATTTGTTTCGAAATTTAACTCAATATATATAAAATAATTCAAACTTTTTTTAGTAATCAATAAATAAATAAAATATAATTTTACCAAATGGAAAATTTGAGATTAGTTAGGAACTTGCAGTTACCAAGTGCTTTACCAATAGTAGAAGCTCCATCATCGCCAATTTAATTTATGCTTTAATAAATGCAAATCACGTTTAATTAAAATTTAAGACATTTTATAAATTCAAAGTTTTTTTTAATTTAGTTTTAATAAAATGGTTTGACATAATTTTTTAAAAGTTACAAATGAAATAAATTTACCTTATGTCAAATTCTAAATTTGTAAGTTGAGTGCAATTACTCAAACCTAATCCAATATTTTATGCTCCTTTATCACCGATTTTATTGTCCCTTTTCAAATAAAATAAATCAATTTATTAACTGTTTAAATTTGTTTCGAAATTTAAATCAAAATATATTAAATAATTTAAACTTTTTTTAGTAATCAATAAATAAATAAAATATAATTTTACCGAATGGAAAATTTGAGATTAGTTAGGAACTTGCAGTTACCAAGTGCTTTACCAATAGTAGAAGCTCCATCATCGCCAATTAAATTTCTGCTTTTATAAATGCAAATCACGTTTAATTAAAATTTAAGGCATTTTATAAATTCAAAGTTTTTTTTAATTTAGTTTTAATAAAATGGTTTGGCATAATTTTTTAAAAGTTACAAATGAAATAAATTTACCTTATGCAAAATTCTAAATTTGTAAGTTGAGTGCAGTTACTCAAACCTAATCCAATATTTTATGCTCCTTTATCACCGATTTTATTGTCCCTTTTCAAATAAAATAAATAAATTTATTTACTATTTAAATTTGTTTTGAAATTTAAATCAAAATATATAAAATAATTCAAACTTTTTTTAGTTATCAATAAATAAATAAAATATAATTTTACTAAATGTTAAATTTGAGATTAGTTAGGAATTTGCAGTTACCAAGTGTTTTACGAATAGTAGAAGCTCCATCATACCCAATTTAATTTCTGCTTTTATAAATGCAAATCATGTTTAATTAAAATTTAAGACATTTTATAAATTCAAAGTTATTTTAATTTAGTTTTAATAAAATGGTTTGACATAATTTTTTAAAAGTTACAAATGAAATAAATTTACCTTATGTCAAATTCTAAATTTCTAAGTTGAGTGCAGTTACTCAAACCTAATGCTCCTTTATCACCGATTCTATTCTACCTTTTCAAATAAAATAAATCAATTTATTTACTATTTAAATTTGTTTTGAAATTTAAATCAAAATATCTTAAATAATTCAAACTTTTTTTAGCAATCAATAAATAAATAAAATATAATTTTACTAAATGTTAAATTTGAGATTAGTTAGGAATTTGCATTTACCAAGTGCTTTACGAATAGTAGAAGCTCCATCATCGCCAATTTAATTTCTGCTTTTATAAATGCAAATCACGTTTAATTAAAATTTAAGACATTTTATAAATTCAAAGATTTTTTTTAATTTAGTTTTAATAAAATGGTTTGACATAATTTTTTAAAAGTTACAAATGAAATAAATTTACCTTATGTCAAATTCTAAATTTCTAAGTTGAGTGCAGTTACTCAAACCTAATCCAATATTTTATGCTCCTTTACCATCGATTTTAGACCACCTTTTCAAATAAAATAAATCAATTTATTAACTGTTTAAATTTGTTTCGAAATTTAAATCAAAATATATAAAATAATTTAAACTTTTTTTAGTAATCAATAAATAAATAAAATATAATTTTACCGAATGGAAAATTTGAGATTAGTTAGGAACTTGCAGTTACCAAGTGCTTTACCAATAGTAGAAGCTCCATCATCACCAATTTAATTTCCGCTTTTATAAATGTAAATCACGTTTAATTAAAATTTAAAACATTTTATAAATTCAAAGTTTTTTTTAATTTAGTTTAATAAAATGGTTTGACATAATTTTTTAAAAGTTACAAATGAAATAAATTTACCTTATGTCAAATTCTAAATTTGTAAGTTGAGTGCAGTTACTCAAACCTAATCCAATATTTTATGCTCCTTCATCACCGATTTTATTGTCCCTTTTCAAATAAAATAAATCAATTTATTAACTGTTTAAATTTGTTTCGAAATTTAAATCAAAATATATTAAATAATTTAAGCTTTTTTTAGTTATCAAAAAATAAATAAAATATAATTTTACGAAATGTCAAATTTGAGATTAGTTAGGAACTTGCAGTTACCAAGTGCTGCACCAATAGTAGAAGCTCCATCATCCCCTATTTAATTTATGCTTTAATAAATGCAAATCATGTTTAATTAAAATTTAAGAAATTTTATTAAAACTTAATATATATAATATCATTTTTTTTAAATAATAAAAAAAGATTATTTACTGTAATCCAATATCTAAATTCTTAAGTTGATTGCACTTACTTAAACCTAATCCAATGTATAGTGCTCCTTTATCAGAGAATTTATTTTGCCTTTTCAAATAAAATAAATAAAATTATAAACAAATTAATTATTTTAAGCTAATCTCCAACATAAAAATTTCATATAGTTTTATTATATCATCAAAATTAATTGTAAAATAAAAATTACCTAAGACAAAATTTTAAATTAATAAGTAACTTTAAGTTACTTAATGCTGTTCCTAAATAATATGCTCCTCCATCCCCAATTTAATTATTACTTTTATAATAAAAAATAATATGCTAATAAATAAATAAATTTATCATCTTTTAATAGATTAATTAAAAATATTTTAAAATTCTTTTCTAAATAAATTTTCACTTTTTTAGTTTTTATTTACAATTAAGTGTTAAATTATATTGAAAAATAATTTTTTAATATATAAACAATAATCAACAAAATTTACACTGCATTTAAAGTTAAAGTTGTGAGTTTAGCACAACTACTAATACCTTCTGCAATACTCGATATCCCTACATCACCTATTTTATTTTTCCTTTGCAAAAAAAGATTTTTAATAAATAATTTATATTCTTCTTAAATAATTCAATAAATATAACTGAATATGCTAAATATAATTGAAATAAGATTACCAAAGCTGCAGATTTAAGTTATTAAGTGTTTTGCATTTACGTAATAATTTACAAATCCAAACCGAGCCTTAATCTCCTAATTAATTTCCTCTTTTATGTATCATTTAAAATAATTTAGTTTAGATATTGAAAATTTTTAATGAGTTTTGAAAGATGAATTTAATTTTTTTAAAAAATAAATTAATTAAAAAGTATACTCTAAATTTAGCTATAAACTGTTGAGATTAATTAGATTACTCATAGTTTCTTCTAATAGAATATCTCTTTAAGCTTCAATATCATTTAATCTTTCACATTAAAAATAAATCAATTAAATACCAATAGTTAGTTAGTTCTATTTATTTTACCTAAGTTCTTAACAACCATGATTAATCTAAAAACAATTTAGCAAAAACAAAATTTGGGTGTATATTTAGTCATTGCTATTTAAATAAAATGAAATTATAACTATTTTAATTAATTTAAATTATTAAATTAATATTTTATTTAAACACAATTTAAGATTCAAACTTTTTAATTTTTATTAATGGTAGAAATAACTAGGGTAAGAAGATAATGTTATAACTTATTAAACAATTTGTAGAATATATTAAGATTTATTAAAATAAAATATATTTATTTACCTCACATTATTACCAGTTTCAACAAAATCCTTTGTGAAGGGATATTTATCAAATAATTAATTTATCTAATCATCTGAAATATTTTCCTTACTAAATATTAGATTGATAGAAAAAAGTAATTATGTAATTTAAGATAATAAAGTTAAATGATTACTTAAGATTTAGTACTTAAGATTCTAATTTTTAGCATTATACTAAACTATTGTTAATTTAAGCAACTTATTTGTTACTAAGATTGCAATTTCTATTTATTTTATTAATAATAATAAAAGAATTTAATTTATGAAAAAATTAATGAATTAAATTTTATTTATTCTTTCTTAATTTTGTAATAGAAACATTAAAAATTTAAAAATACTTATTTTTATTAAAAAAAATATTGCTTATTTTGATAAATTTATCATTAAATATGAATGAATAAATATTTATATATATATATCTTACTTTAATTGTAAGTCAATATGAGTTAGAGCTTTCAAGTCAGATTTCACTAACTTTTTTTTTTAAAAAATGATTTTATAATAATAAATAAAATGAATAATAATGATGGTTACATCTTATAGAATACTTAAAGAGTTATTCTATTACTTCCTTTTTTTTTATTGATTTCCCATTTATATTTCTTTGATTATTTATTAATTAATTAATTGTGATCAGAAATTAATAATTTTGATTTATTTAAAAAAATTATTGATTTTCTTTTTTAAATATTCTTATTTAATTTGTACCATTCTAAAAAAATATACTGTAGATTATCCAATATTAGCACCTATAAATACATATTAACACCCATATTTTGAAAATTTTTAGTTTTTTTGAAATTTGAAATTTTTTATATTAAAAACCTTTTTGACTAAAGAATTATTAAGGGTATTATCTTAATAATTATCAATTTCATTACTAAGAGATAATTAAAATTATTTTTGTTATAATTGATTGTGACTACTTACATACATTTTTTTCCATAAATTTTCATATTATTTAGAAAAAAATTAATTTATTTGACAAAAATATTATTTTGAAATACCCATGACTTTATGAATGACTGAGAATAAAATATGCTAATTAATTAAAGTTATCCATAATTAAATAATATGAGTTTTAGTAAATAAAAAATCATGTAAAATTTATTTAAATATTTTAATGTAAAATTCAAACAGCCTTAAAAAAATATAAAATAAATTTAATTAATTTAATTTAAAATTTATAATTAAAAATCGTATTTTTTTAATATTCTTATGAGAAATAAAAAAAGATAATAAATTAAAAGATTTATTTCAATTAACTAATTCTCTGTAAGAAATAACTTTTTCCTATCCCATAGCTGATATTATAGAGACAAGAATATCCTTTTGGCTATCAAAATCTGCTCTAAGTTTTTCTACTAATTGTGGTTCATCGTCAGGAAGTTTAAGATCTTCCTTGATTTCTCCGTTTTCAAGCAAAAGAGTAAGATAGTCATCATCTGATATATCTATCAATTAGAATTCATGTTTCTTTACAAATGGTATTTCCATATTATGGGAAGTTGGACATGAGTCTTCATATTTTTTGCCTGAGAAAATATTAATACCGATAATAGTATCCTTTTCGTGTCCATGCTTTCCTGCCTTACAAGTTGTCATTTCAGTAACTCTACAAGGAAAACCTCTTAGCATAGCATAGCCATTTTTTTAAACATTACCAGCTTACATCGGATAAGTTAAAGAAGAACCAGATTCTCCTTAGTCATAATGTTCGTAATCAGACATTTAAAAAGTTTTTATTTTTAATTTAGCTTTCAGTAGTTTAAGTAAGAGTTTGTTTGTTTTGTTTATTTAGATGATTTTAATTATGTGAAAAATGATATCAAATATGAGCATTTTTAAACTATCATTATCAGTTAAGAGTAATTCTTGTATATTTTAAACTGATCTTGTATAATAAAATATAAAATTTAATTCTTACTTATGAATTTTACTTATTTTTTATTAATAATTAAGAAATAATTTCTTCTAGCCTTAATAATTTAAAAGAATTTAAATATTTTATTAAATCATTAACATTTCAAACAATCAACTTTCTTTTATAAAATGAATAAAAATATTTTGTTTGAATGAAATAAAGATTCATACGAAGATAAAAATTGATAATTGTTTTACCTTTCTTTCAAATTCACATATAAAATTATTCTAAAAAGGTTTTAACAAAATTATTTTAATTTTAAATTTAAGAAAAGCCTTCATTTTTTTGTCAGAAATAGAAAATTCTTTCATATGGAAATAAATATATTTTTCTTTTTATTTATTGGTAATGGCTCTCTTTATAAAAATCATTACGTGGAATTTAATTAAAATTAGTATTTATCCTTAAATTAAGAAAGAATTTTTTGTTTCTGACAGAAGAATAAAAAGCGAATTAAAGTGACTACGAAATAAATAAATATAATTTTCATTAAATTATAAATACAAATAAATTTCTTGTATTTTTTAATTACTATTTTTGGATTTTTATTAATTTTAATTACATTTGATATCAGTCATAATAAATTCTTCCAACAACGAAATTTAACTAATTTGATTATATAAAGCTTACTTAGGCAATTTATGTTTAAATATTGTGCTATTTATCTTATCATTATATAAAATAAATTCAAATAATTATTTTATAAATAGACTTAAAATATATATTTATATAATTTTTTTTACAAAAAATCACAAAAATTAAATTAAAAAGTAAAATTTGATTTCTCCCTAAGGTTTTATTTAAATCATGGTATCTAATTAATTATGATAAATAAAAAAAGGATAGAAATATGATTCATGGATAATATTTAAGATAATAATATAACTGGCATATAAAAGCTTGGCATTTTTTTAATTTAATAAGATATATTAAACTAAAAGTTCCAAATTATTTTATCGTTTTTGGAGAATTCGGAGGGTTTGCTTAAGAGAATTTAATTTATTTAAGTAAATTTAATTTTTAAATTTTTTTATTTTTAATAAATAATTTATTTACTTACAAAAATATGAATGATATTTATAAATTTAAAATCAATAATAAAAACTATAAATCTATTTATATTTTAGGTTAAAAACACTTTTTAAAAATATTAAATAATAAAATATATAATATTATTCAAACATTTTATATTGATTCATCCTTTTTTCACCAGCTGTTTATCATTCGAAATTTAAATTAAAGACAACTAATCTTTATGATTTAAGAAACTTGCCTTTTACTTTGAATTTTTATGAAATTTTCATTGAGCTAAAAATTTTAAAATAAATCTGTGTAAATTTTAAATAAATATAAAAATAGAATAAACTTTTAAATTAAATTATTCTTTAAATTTATAAATAAAATAATATTAGTGCAATAAAAAAGATAAAAAAATAAATCAAATAAATTCAAAGAAATTTTTTTTATATTCATTTTTATAGTTTAAAATATCACAATTCAAAACAAATAAACTGTTTTTACTCAAGGTAAAGTGTCAAATTTGAGAGATTAATGCATTTTGCTAAAGCTGAACCTAAGCCTGATGCAGCTTTATCACCAATTTAATTAGACCTTTTTAAATATTGAAGAAAAAATATATCATTAAATAGTTAATTAGAAGGAAAAAATGAAGAAAAAATATGAAATAATAAAATTAATTAATAATAAAAGCAAATGAATAAAATAAATGATGAGCTTAATTAACAAAGAAAAAACAAAACAGCAAGCACGATAAAAAGAAAAAGAAAAAAGAGCTTTATTGTTTTTAATTAGTTTTTATAATTAAAAATATCACAATCCAAAACAAATAAACTGTTTTTACCGAAGATCAAGTTTTAAATTTGAGAGATTAATGCACTTTGCTAAAGCTGAACCTAAGCCTGATGCACCCATTGCACCAATTGAATTGTAACTTTTTAAATATTGAAGAAAAAATATATCATTAAATAGTTAATTAGAAGGAAAAAATGAAGAAAAAATATGAAATAATAAAATTAATTAATAATAAAAGCAAATGAATAAAATAAATGATGAGCTTAATTAACAAAGAAAAAACAAAACAGCAAGCACGATAAAAAGAAAAAGAAAAAAGAGCTTTATTGTTTTTAATTAGTTTTTATAATTAAAAATATCACAATCCAAAACAAATAAACTGTTTTTACCAAAGTCTAAGTGTCAAATTTGAGAGATTAATGCAATTTGCTAAAGCAGAACATAAGCCTGATGCACCTTTATCTCCAAAATAATTAGACCTTTTTAAATATTGAAGAAAAAATATATCATTAAATAGTTAATTAGAAGGAAAAAATGAAGAAAAAATATGAAATAATAAAATTAATTAATAATAAAAGCAAATGAATAAAATAAATGATGAGCTTAATTAACAAAGAAAAAACAAAACAGCAAGCACGATAAAAAGAAAAAGAAAAAAGAGCTTTATTGTTTTTAATTAGTTTTTATAATTAAAAATATCACAATCCAAAACAAATAAACTGTTTTTACTAAAGGTCAAGTGTCAAATTTGAGAGATTAATGCATTTTGCTAAAGCTGAACCTAAGCCTGATGCACCTTCATCATAAATTAAATTGTACCTTTTTAAATATTGAAGAAAAAATATATCATTAAATAGTTAATTAGAAGGAAAAAATGAAGAAAAAATATGAAATAATAAAATTAATTAATAATAAAAGCAAATGAATAAAATAAATGATGAGCTTAATTAACAAAGAAAAAACAAAACAGCAAGCACGATAAAAAGAAAAAGAAAAAAGAGCTTTATTGTTTTTAATTAGTTTTTATAATTAAAAATATCACAATCCAAAACAAATAAACTGTTTTTACTAAAGTTCAAGTGTCAAATTTGAGAGATTAATGCAAATTGCTAAACCAAAACCTAAATCTGATGCACCTATTGTACCAATAAAATTTGCACTTTTTAAATATTGAAGAAAAATATAAAATTGATTAGTTATTTAAAAGGAAATATGAAGTAAAAATATTAAATGATAAGAAATAAATAAATTAATAAATAATAAAAGCAAATTCTAAAATAAAAA